TTAAAATATTATATTCTTAAACGAAATATCATTTTTTAAAATGATGAAAATAAAACTTTTATTTTGTTCAAGGAAACCATGTCATTTGATGAAACAACACTATTGTTTTAAATAATATTTTTTAAAAGTTTCTCTCAAAATTTAGTAATTCGATTTGTTTAATTTGGATTTTCTTGGATTTTTTATTTTTTTTTGTTGGATTAATCATTATGACATTTTGTTAAAAATGTAATAGTAATTATTACTGGTTCACTATATTACATCATTATTTATCGCATATCGAATGTTGCATTGTTTCAATATCTATCAACAAATTATCCAATAAACAACAAGTAAAAATTATGTAACTATTATTTGGTGTTTGCTAGGTATGTTATAATATACTGTGAGCACTAGAAGGATACATTATATAAGCATGAATTGTAAGAACATCGTTGGAGTCATGAGAGTCACCGCGTGCGCGCTCGATCGTCAGGTTAAGCAACAGTTAATGCTGTCAGGAAATGGATGGGTGGGTGACCAGTGGTATACCGCTTGGGATCGAAATTATCGCAGGAGAATTCATGAAAGTTTGGAATGTGTTGACAACCTTCGATATCTAGTAGTTTATGAGACATAAGAAAATTAGTAATATAAGTATATTTTTGTAAACATTATGATTTTCTCATTTTTCACCTTTGCATGATAATTCTCAGTATTTGATTACTAGCAATATTTAACAGTGATTTTATTATCAGTATTCACCAGAAATTAAGTACTGGCCAAAAAATTACTGAATTACTGGTAATATCTAATCACTAATAATTTTTCAGTATTTCTTATGATATTTCTATAAGGGTGGATAGTCGTTTGAAAGTCACGTAAAGGTCACCTTGAATTTCTTAAATGGAAACCTCCATTTTTCATTGCATATTCTTGTAGCTTACCTCGAGTTTTCCAAAACACTATAATAAATTATTCATTAAATATCTTTCGTGTTAGAAGGCTTTAAATTTACAATATTGTTGCCATTAGCATTAGTACCCAAAATGTTTAACCGACAGCTGAAACCTTTTGAATGTTGTTCAGGGCCATAACTTTGACAACATTTGTCAAGGTCAAGGCGATTGGAGGCTGTTCCTAATATTTTCATTTTTTCAAATTTTACAATAAAAGCAAAAATAATAATTTAAAATCATGGAGAAACATGTGGAGTCCGATTGATTCTAAAGGATCATATGAAGGTCGCAATTTTTCGTCGGGGCCACAAAGAAGCACACATGTGAAATCCCATTAATAAATTTCTATAATAATCATAACATTGTGATCTTCATATGATTCTTTAGAGTTGATCGAACTCCACATGTTACCCTATGATTTTAAATTATTATTTTTGATTTTACTGTACAATTTGAAGAAATGAAAATATTAGGAACAGCCTCCAATCGCCTTGACCTTGACAAATGTTGTCAAAGTTATGGCCCTGAACAATATTCAAAAGGTTTCAGCCGTCGGTTGAACATCTTGGATACAAATGTTAATGGAAACAATATTGTAACTTCGAAGCCTTTTAACTTGAAAGATACTTAATGAAAAAATATTTTATTAGAGTGTTTTGGAAAGCTCTCGAAGTAAGCTACATGAATATGCAATGAAAAATGGAGATTTCTATTTAAGAAATTGAAGGTGACCTTCACGTAACTTTCAAACGACTATCCAGGGTCAAGCCAAATACACATTCTTATGTGCCCCTCCGAACCAAACTTTTGTTTGAAATGTTTTTCCATATCTTCCATATTTTTTTAAATATTTGCCTGGTTCGATTAAAATGACTCACCCTGTATATATATATATATATATATATATATATATATATATATATATAGAATCCGCCACTTAAGGGGTAACGCCACGGTTGAGGTCGAAAAATACCTAAATTCGAGCATTTTTTGCAAGTAGAAAAATTAATTTGATTAAAAAATCAAATGCAGGCCTGTATTATATAACTATCGAACTATACAAACATATTTTTTTTTTCAAAATAGCGTAGTACTGGCATTTCTTCGGAGACGTGTTTTTCTTTTCGTAAAAAATGGTAGGACTTCTTGCTCCGATTTGGTTTGATCTGGAACAATCAGGCAAAGATTTTTATTATCTACATACATTAAACCTTTCGAGTACGTAGGATTATAGAGAAATATTAATTTTTCGCAATTTGGCACGTTATTGAGAAGAAAGTTCATTTTTTCCACTAAAATTTTGTTAAAGAAACGGTTACTGCAAAAAAAGTTTCAAACGTTTCGAAAAAATCCTACGTACTCGAAAGGGAAATATATCTAAGATTGTGTTAAAATTTCAAACCAATTGAATGGAAATTGGCTGAGATATCTGTCCCACCGATTTTGAAAACAATGTTTCGAGATAAACGCGGTTAAAGTTTTTCATACTAGTTTTTTGTGTATACAGTTTAATGTTTTAAATTTACTTTTAATCGGCGATGCGTGCTGCGTACAATTGGTCTTCCTCTGACACGTCAACCTCATGTTCTTCTTTTCTTGTTGATAAAATTGACTTCTTGGCTTCTTTGACTTGGTCAGTGATGCTGCGCTCAGCTAGCTTGATGCGCCGTGCGTCTGCCTCCACGCATATATTGTAGCAAGTGGGGCCAATTTTAAGGTACAAAACTTGCATGATTTGCATTATGCTATTGTAGCCATCGTTATAATAGCATGTAGCTACATCTGTAGCTATATCCATAACATTTTTCCCTCTTGAAAAAATTTTGGAGCCATAGACCACACAGTGGTCTATATATACGTATTTTAATATGTATCTCAATTATTACATTTAAAAACGACATATTAGTACGTTATTACCACGACATGATATACAAGAGACTTAAACTTGGTCACATTTGTAAAAAAGACTTAAACAATTGATCGGAAGAAAAATCCGACCGCTGACAATTTGTATTTTGGGTTGTGATAATTTCAGATCTCAGGATTGACTGCACTAATTTTTATCAAATTGGCCACAGTTGAAAGCTTATATTAACGTTTCTGTCAGAAATGCAATTAGATTTTCCATTGCGGCTTTATTTCCCAAGATATTTTAATTAAAATTACGATCGTCGCAAAAACTCCGGAAAAGCTTCTTGGTAGCGTCATACTATGAACATAGTCACATTTCGGTCTCGGTCTGTTATTCTTGGATCTGTCATTCTCGGATTCGTCTTTATATACTTGGCATCGCGACGCGTCGCTTGATCTTTTATAACAAACACTATTAGAGAATCATATTTCTTTAAAAGTGAAAAATAGACTTGATACTTATTTTTACATTTCTAATAAAATAATTTCATTATTTTCGAAGAAATCTGCACGTAGTCAATATGTACGAAAATCCAATAACAGTCTCCCTACCAATGTACATTGATTCATCGTATGATAGGACAACATCCTTATTGATATTATTTTTGTTATGCCGTTGTGCAGTTATATTTAGCAACCGTCTGTACCAGAACCTGTTGGTATCATAATACATTTCTCAGCTCTCGGAACTGTACAGTGCAATGCCTTCGTAGCTCTCGTTGGATATAAATCTTTGTGACTTGCGATAAGTTCTTTTGCCGTTTTTCGGACAGTTGAAGGGAAACGATGTACGAACGATGTACGAACAAACATGTGATTTTACTTCATAAACGATTGTAAGTTAATCTCACAACTTTTTGAATTTTTAACAAAATTCATACGAATGTATAGTTATTCTTGAAATAATAATAATATAATAATATAATAATATAATAATATAATAATATAATAATATAATAATATTATAATATTATAATATTATAATATTATAATATAATAATATAATAATATAATAATATAATAATATAATAATATAATAATATAATAATATAATAATTATCGCATTATAGTAAGTTATTGCCTTTATACATAATTACATTTGATTTTTAACTAGGATAAATATGTAGAAGAATATAAAAGAAAATCATATTGAAATTTTTTGTGTATCGGGTTAGATATATACTGTATACAATACAGAATAACAATTTATAATTCTACTCAAGAAAACTTCGAATTTTCAGTTTATTATATATAATTTCGCGAATTCCATCTTAGCTTATATTAAATATTATTATTTTGCAAATTTGCTTGTTGCAAAATTTTAATTTAAAAAAATGGTGATGCATTTAAATTGTGAATTATAATTAAAAATAATAGTAAAACAATGTAAATTTTACATAGAGTAATTTAATATATGACTTTGTAATCCATAAATTAATATGTAGAACACAATTTGATAATTAATTATATGATTATTTGATAAGTAACTTATATGCTATAGAACTTGTATTCTGTATTGTATAATAGATGTAAATTACGATATAATATTTATATTTGAGTATTGAGATTAACTCACATGAAATTAACGCAAGTTTAATCGTAAATATGGTATGCTCGGTAACTGATATTTTTTACAAAACACACTCAGACGTCATCGGCAAAGCATGACAACAGTAATATTTTTACAACTGTGCACGAGATGGTATATAATTGACGAATCGTGCGAGCCGCTGCCAATGTACAGAATTTCATCGACGATGAAGATATTCCTCGTGTATTTCCTTATCTGGGGACTGGCAAACTGCCAGAATCTTAATCCGGAACAGTTGCTTGCCGAGGCTTCAACCGATCCTTCCTTGGCAAGTGCAGTCTTCGACAGTCTCTTATCTCATCAAAGGTCAATCACAGGTTCGTCCAATAACGCCTTCACAGACGATCAAATAAATATCAACTTCGGTCCCGGACTTAAAACGGGATCTCAAGCACAATCATTAGCACAAACAACTAAAACCACATTTGGACATGAAAATGTTTCGTCAAAGGCAAATACTAACGCAGCCGCACAAACAATATTTTTTACAAGGTCTCCAAAGGAAGTTGCAACTTCCACGAATTCAAAATCCTTGATAAAGATAATAGCGGATCCCGCATCTAAAATACAAGCTGCAAGTTCGACAGAAATGGGTGAGAAAAGTCCCGAATCTACAAAAGAAAAGTCTTTTGTAACGCGTGACTTCTCGTCTTCTACTTCTTCATCTTCGTCGCAGTCTAGTTCTACTTCGTCCATAGTCTCCTTGAAATCAGAAACCTCAAATGTTGACACAAAATCTGACTCCAGTGCTGAATTGTCCACTATAACGTCGTCAACGAAAAGTAAAGTCGATATTTCAGCAAAAGCTATCGCTAAAGCTGAAGCTGAAGCAAAGGCTGCATCGGAAGTAGCGATAGCCGCGCAAGCAGAGGCCGAGGCTCAGGCGAAAGCTGCAGCTCGTGCGGAAGCAGAAGCTAGTGCTGCGTCTGCTGCAGAAGCGCGAGCTGAAGCGAAGGCGCAAGTGGAATCTAAAGCCCGGGCACAAGCGGAAGCTCGTGCGGAGGCATCCGCACGAGCTGAAGCCGAGGCCAAGGCAGAAGCATTTGCAAAGGCAGAGGCCAAGGCGAAAGCCGAAGCCGAGGCACGAGTACAAGCTGAAGCGCGCGTCGAAGCAGAAGAGCGAGCGGCTGCATCTGAGCGAGCCGAGGCTAAGGCTCGAGCACAAGCCGAAGCCGAGGCTGAAGCATCCGCGCGAGCAGAAGCGATAGCTCGGGCAGAGGCAGAGGCGCGTGCTAAAGCGGAAGCACGCGCAGAAGCGTCAGCACAAGCCGAGGCCAAAGCGAAAGCCGAGGTAGCAGCTGGCGCGAAGGCTGCAGTTGTAGCTAAACTAACTGCTCAAACTAAAGCACTATCTGAAGCGTACGCCAATGCTGTAGCTAAAGCCAAAGTATCCGCTAAAAAAGCTGCAATGGCAAGCGTAGCTACAACGAATGCTGCAATGGCTATCAAATCAGCAGCATCAGCACAGGCACAAGCAGCCATTAAAGCAACTGCCGCGGAGGAAGCAACCGCTGCTGCTTGCGTCGCCACCGGTGAAGCTAATGCTGCGGCGTCTGCGGTTGAAGCAGCCCTAATGCTGACTATGATGATCTCTCAATCTGCAGATCTTGCACAGAAAACGGCTGCTTCTTACGCACTAAAATTAGTGAAGACAGCTATGGCTAGTGAGGCCGCTAACAATTTTGTCGAAAGTAAAGCTATAAACGGTGAGAAAATGGTAGCTTTAGCAATAAAAGCTGCACAAGTGTCCATATCTAAACATGCAGAAGGAAAACAGAAATCCGAAGAGCTTTCCATATATCAAAAAGCGGTTAGAGAAACCAGCACGAAGGCGGCTGCTGCACAATTCGTTGCTTTGGAACATACAAAACTGGTTTCTCGTAAGGCTGAAGAAACTGCTAAAATACAAGCTTCTATATCTGCCAAGATGGACTCAAGAACCTCAAAACTAGAAGCCATGAAGGCGACGCAGGCAAATTTCCTCAACGCAGTAAGAGATGGTATTATAGTTGGATTGAACACTACTCCGAAAATAATGATGAAACATGTTGAAATTAAAACAAACAATTAATCCGGCAGGAGAGCAGAGTGATATTCAAAATTAGTTCAAACAATGACGTGTTTAATTGAGTGAAAAACAAATTATTATTACACAATATTAGTGTACATTTATTATTACACAATATTAGTAAAAACAAGAAATAATAATACAGAAACTATTATTTTTAAAACACAACAGTATAAATATAATATTATTACAAATGGAATTATATTCCACTAATTACATATACGCAATCTTTCCAAATATACTGTTTAATTCATAAATAATTGTTAAATTGTAGGTTAAAAGTAGGTTGCCTGGACATAATAATTGACATATATTCTATGAAAGAATGTCATAGATAATCAAACAACTTTTATCAATGAACAATAAATAATAAAATTAACAAATTTTTGTTATATCTTTTAAACAATTATTAATTTAACAATAACTTATATTTCACTTACATTTCACTTAGATGATCTTAATTTTAATATATATTATAAGAGGTAAGATCCCCTAAGTATTCCATGTTTTATACCAGCAACTGTCGGTATTGCAAGATGAACACAGAATTCTGACTATACGCGGTGTTACATATTAATAAACACATTAATGAAGTATTTAAGACAAGTAAAATAGAATACTTTACGAATTAGAATTAAGTTATTCAAGAACTTTGTACAAAATAAATAGAACATAAAATATACAGATTTAAATAAAGAGGCGATATATATATATATATATATATATATATATATATATATATATATATATATATATATA